TTCCTCCCATGCCAGCACTGAACTGGAGTTACTGTTTCCAGAGGACCCTTTGACCAAAAGGGAACCAGCCCCATTGAGGCTGCCCTGTGTTGCTTTGAGCACTTTCTTCCTGAAATTTGCCCACTCACTGTAAAGCTGAAAGCATATCTCTATCATTTTAGCTGTTCAGAACTATGGAAAGCTATTATTTTCTATTGCTTTCACTTCCCTGAATGCACACAAAAAAAGGACTATTGGACACGTGAAACCTGCTGCTGCCCCTCTGTAAGTGGCGACATGAACCCCACAGCTGTATGCAGACTAGAATTGAACGCTTCATGTTGCAGTGCCCCCCTTTTTATTCCCAATCTCCATTCTGTTCAACAAAAACTATCACAGGTGAGAGAGATGAGGAAACCAAAGACAAACGCACCGGGGACCATGCGTAGCTTTTCAACCGGTTTTCCTGGTCTTCTGAGTTTTCCCCTCCTGTTCTGCTGGCTTTTTCTATCACATGTTTTTAATGCCTCTGTCTCTCATCTGCTGCAGCTCCAGCCTCTTCATTCCCCTGCTCAGTACCTCCCACCTTCCCTCCTCCAGAGAACTTTACAGTCTTCGCAGTGGTGAGCACACATACCACACTGCACTGGTCATCAGGGGTCTGGAGCCAAAGTTCTCAACTCCCAGGACACTTCGGAAGTGTGAAGTGTCAGGGAAATTTATTACCAATTATGAGGACCCACGTTCCTAAGCTCACTATTTTTTTAAGTGGATTTGAACTTAGCCATAGAATAACATCACTGGGCCCCACTTGCATGCAGAATACTTTCTTGAGTGGGAGAGGAAAAGTAACACAACCTTATCTACACTACACTCTGTGGGGGTGGGGGTGTGGCTGCAAATGTCATCAGCTGGTGTTTTTTTCTCAACAAAAAGAAGTCAACCCCTCACTCAAACGTCTACCGAGCCCCCTGCCCCAAGATTATTTTTATTCATTTAATTTGGGGAGTGGCCATATGCTTTCACCACATGGCATTAAAAGGTGAATTGATCCTGGAGAAAGATGGTTCCTTTCTTTCCATTTCATTGTACTGGAAGTTGTTGGGTGATGGGAAGTTGACTTCAACTCGTAGCAACCCCATGTAACAGAGTAGAACGATGACCACAGAGTTTTCTAGGTTATAATCCTTATGGGAACAGGTCCCTTGGTCATTCTCCCATAGAGCTACTGGCTGGGTTAGAACGGTCAACGTTTAGATTAGCAATCAAGCACTTAACCATTGTGCCACCAGGATACCTTGTTACAGAAGTTAGGGCTATTTATTTATTTATTTTTACTAGTTCTAATTTATTATATTGGAATTCCAAAATTGGGCAAAAAATCCTGAGGATTTTTTTTAGATAGATATTAAAAATAACAAGTCTGAAACAGTTTACAAATGATGACTACATTTGCTAAAAAACATCTGATGGGGGCAATGATTGTACAAATGTACTTTACACAATTGATGTATGTATGGATTGTGATAGAGTTGTATGAGCCCCTAATTAAAAAAAAAATCTGATGATTTCCCATATATGCCTTTTTCAGATTTTTTTTATAAGAAATGTTAGAGGCAGAATTAAAGAGGGAAACACTATGTAAACCAAACAGTTCATGTTTTACCTGTAGTTGTGGCTTGGGTGTTTCAAACATCTGTTTGTCATGTCCATTAGTATAAAAACTTGAAAGGGATCTTGTGTTCTCCCATGAGGTATCTTGTGGTAACTTAAGCTTTCTCTTTCAACTAATATCTACAATCTCTACTTATTGTCTCAAATGAAACATAAAATGAAATCTTTCCTCAAGAAGAAGGAATGTGATAAATCTATCGTTTCTGTCTCTTGGGAGTAAACTTGTTATAGCTCCATGAATTTTACAGTTAAAAAGAAACTTAGTGGAGACGTTGCTTTGTAGCTGCAGAGTCTGAGCTTTTCCAGAATTGTGGCTCGGGGAACGTTGTAGGCTAAAGATAACAAAATCTATCATCCTTTCATGGAAATTCAAGATGTATTTTGAGACTGTGTAACTGGAAAACGAGGAGTGAAAAATGAAGCATTTGTACACAAGTAAAGTGCTGTGCTTCCTTGTTTAGTGCCCTATTTACCTTCCCCGTCACATAATTTTTTTTCTTACAGCTTATTAAAAGTGCAACATATTTTTGAAAAATCAATATGAATGAAGGTAGCAATGACGGTACCCCTCTGAAAAGTTACAGCCAACCATTGAACTAGACAGTTTAAATGGATGAATTGTATAGAATATGAATTATATCGCGAAAATCAATATACAATTATATTTGAAAACAGTGTTTTGTAATAGATTTACCCAAAACTACTAAGTGGGCTTCCTTCCTTCTTCAATAGTGAGCATTTCTTTCATGTAAGGAAAGGAGAGACTAAACAAAAATATAAAGCGAAATTTACCTAAGCTAGTATTTTTATTCCTTGCATGTTGCTTCCTTTAATCATTTGACTACCAAATTAAAGCTTTTTAGACTGAGAAAGCAGTAAGAGATGCTCATTCATTAATCCAACAAACACTAACCTGACATCCACAAGGAACCATGTATTAGCCGACAACTTTGGGGAGACGCAGACACACATACAAAAAGATATGGACCCTGCATTATGCCTTTAATAGCTTGCTTTTTATCTTTCTAAAATGAGTTTGCCAGAGCTCTATGTTCTAATGCATATTGCTTGGTGTTCTTGAGTGGTGCGTAACTGTTTGGTCTCAGACACGGTCTTAAAATAGGAGTGCTCATGCTGCTCTTACTGGAAACGCTGGCTTTATGTGCCTTATCTCCACTGAGAAGAGACACTTCCTTCCTTGGGCGATAGATTAATACTTGAGGATTGTCCTTGTGTTTTCCCTTCCCTGGTTTTAAACACAGACACATACACCGGACAGGGAGCAGCAGACTCAACATGCAGAGACTTGGGCTCTCAGTTGACTCGGCATCCAGAGGCTCAGCACACAGTGCTGCTGCTAGGACCCTGGGTGCCAAGGCAAGCTGAGGCCCATTGCTAAGATTGGAACTGGGGTGGAATCCTTCAAGAGTCTTTCCAGTCCTTGCATGCTGTGGGGGCTCTGCCATCTTGATTTCAACATTTCACTTCACTTAACGTTCCTAGTGAAGACATGTAAGTAATATTATGATTTTCAGGTGAATATAAAATGCATTCTGGAATGCATAAGGTATGGAGAAGAGGTCATTGAATGTATGAACCAGTAGATGGATTGTGAGGTTTGATGTCAAAAGGCTGAAACATGGAAGAACAATTGGTATTTTGAAGAGGAAATGGAATGTTTCTTATAAAGGTTCTGATGTCTTATTTAAAATGTGTGTGTGTACATATGTTGGGAAATCCTTGATAAAGTGAAGGAGCTGAGATTGGAGACTGGGGGCTCTGGTTCCTGTTTTGAGATTGAGGAGTGTATCTGGTCTCAGAGAATGTTGCACAGTCGGATTCCATTGGGAAAGTGCGATGGTGTCTGGGGAAAGGCTGCTTCCTGACAAGCCACTCCTGCCTCATCCATCTGACCCACAAGATGGCCCACATCCATTGTGTTACTCCATGTGCATTTAAAACCTCTCCAACAGGTTTGTTGTTTTTTTTAACTCCCAAGATTCTTTCATAAGGAGAGAGACCAAAAAATGTTATGCATGTATTTAAGAGCTGTGTGTGTTGTGGTGCTTTGTTCTTTATTGTCTTTCCTTTGTTTCTTTCTTTTTTCAGACCATCCAGGCCTTTCAAGTTACCAAAAAGGTAAAGTTGTTTGGGTTATTTTATTAAGTACTAACCTCACCTGCATGTCATCCCCCTTCTGATCTTTCCCCCACATTTTGCTGCTGTTTCCAAATTCCTTGTTTTTATTTTTTGTAAAATAAAGTATTTCCTTGACGTTTGCTACTTAAGGTAGCCTATCTCTCTAAAACTGGTTTGAATCTCAAGGTAGATTTTTTTTGCGTTTAAATTTTGCTTGTGTTTAATCATGCATATTTGGTTACTTGCTTTGCATTTCCTTCTTGTAACTGATTGCCTTTCAGAGTCTTCGCTGTTGAGGAAAGAGATACCACGCCACCAACTACCAGCACTTAATTCAAGTCAGTTTATTTTCAACGATTTGCCTGTGCTTAATATTTTTGATAAGATTAGAAGCAATCTGATATGTGAAGATATATTTTATCTTTTTGGTAGGAAAGCAAATTTTTTAAAAGCAAATTTTAAATGGATAAGAATTTCTGGAAGAATAGAGCATCTTCTCAGATGTTCTTATACTTAGTGGTTCCAGATATGACATTATTCTAGAAATTCAGATGCTCTTACTTCTGAAATCTGCCTTAGAAGAGTTACCATCACTTTGTAGTAAAATTAATATAAAAATCTGAATAAACTCCCCTTTCATTTCTGCAAGTATATATACTGTGTGAATATGTTCGGGTTAAGCATTGGGCTACGATGTGCATGGTTGGCAGTTCAAAACCACCAAAAGCTCCTCAGGAAAAAGACTGAGTTTTCTACTTGTGTAAACAGAGTCTTGGGAACCCACATAGGAGCCAGCATATTTAGCGACTAAAGAATTGCCACCACCATTAAGTCGCTTGATAATTTATATATCATACGAATATGTAAGAAATTTGACGGGACAAGTTTTTGACTAAGCATTATTGGTAATTTAGTGGCAGAGTCTTGGTAGCCACCCGCCTTTTCCCATACACAAAGTTCATTTATTTGGTCCACCTCTTGGTGTTTCAATGTTTTTGAAAGCTTTTAAAAGTTAAATTGCAACTACTAGGGTTATCACTAGGTGATTTTTGAGAATTCTTGAGAAGCAATTTTTTTAGCTGCTCTGGCAGCCCGATTGTTTGCCCTGACTTCTTCCGTTTGGGGTTCTCCTTTTGTCTGGTGAATCTATATTGTGTACAGTAGTAGCAGAGTATCTACAGGGACTGCCATTGAAGTTTCATTGTGCTTTTTAAATTTTTCTTTCTTTCTTTGATGGCAGTTCTCAAAGAGCTTAGAAATCCTCTTTGTTTCCATAATATGCTAAACTCATGTACAATCCCAAAATAGTGTCTGTGTCCTGTTTAGACATTAACAGACTTTCCTGAAACAATCTTAAGGGTTCTGTGAAAGCTATTAATTCAGCCATTTGGACTGAAGTAGCTTCAGGAATAGTTTGACTTTCAAGGACTTCATTAGCAGTTGTGATGGCAAACCCATCTCTGAGTGAGCTCTCAGGGGACTGGGCCTGAAGTAAGAGCTACACCAAAATAAAACTGAGTTCCAGCTAAAGGAGTGGCTATTACATCTTTCCAAGGCATTAGAAGCTGTTCAGCCATGTCCAAATAGCTCTCTATAGGATAGTTGTCCCTGTCCGCTTCAGGAAGGAGGTGGCTGGTTTTAAGCAAAACACATAGTGCAATTTAATGTTAGAAGCAGTCATAGAAGAGAATTTCATACGAGGTGTTGAGTCAAGGTGGAATTCATGCAGGATAGAGACAATATAAGGTACACAAACATCTACTGAATGATCTCGTACAAAGTCTGTGGGTGCTCTGTACTAGTGTAATAGTAGCAGCCACAGCCCAGAAGCAGAGATGGTGTCCTTGAACTACAGGATCATTCTGTAGGTTCTAGTAAACCAGAGATGTCTAATAACCTCCATGCTTCTGAGGCAATACATCTAAAGCATTTCCAGATACTTCATGCCCCAGTAAGAAAACAAATCTAAGTGATAATGAAGGAACCCTAAAACAGGTGTTTTTGCCAGAGCATCTTTTTATTTGTCTATGGCCTCCTGACCTTCTGGTGTAATTTGGAAGGAATGTGGTTCATAAGCCTTTTAAATATTTTTTAAATAAGGTCTGGGTTAAAAGAGAAAATTTGGGAATCTGGATCTGGATTCTATAATAGCTACAAAGTCCAAAAAAAAATCCTTGTAATTATTTCTTTGTTCTAGGAGTAATGAAAAGGCAAAGGTAGACTTTTGTTTAGGTTCCATACAGATAGCTAATGGGGGATTATGGAGCCCATGAAGGTCACAGAGGTCAGGGCAGTTCTAACTTCTGGAAACAGCCAAATGCAGAGCAATGCCCTCATCACTGTGAGCCTGCTGTGAGGTAGCGCATACTAACAAATCATTTACATAGGGTAGCAATTTGAATTTTTGCACAAACTGCAAAAGCTGCACATCTGCATGGAGAATTTAGAAGAAATGGGAGATTCAATGAATCTTGTGGCATTACAGTTCAGATAAATTGCTGCTTTTTCCCTCATCCCTGGCAAAAAGCAAACAAACACTGTCTTTCCAGATGTACAAGAAGAAATATATATACAAAAGATCAATCACTCTAAAAAAGAATAGCATTTAGGGGGATAGTGAAAAGCAGTAAATGAGTGCTTGGGAAAACTAGAAACCTTAGAAATGGCATGCAGATCCTGGACAAACCTCCAGCCCTTGTTATTTGGTATCTTAGCCAGAAGAACAGGGGCATTATAAGGGCTGGGACAGGGGGTGTTGGACCTATAGAAAGGAAATCTTGGTTAATGGAAACTAGTTCTCTTAACTTCGGCTTTAGGGGTTATTGGTGTATCTTTGCAAGCGTTTATAAACAAATCTATTTGAATCTTAATGCACTTGGTTATCAAAAATTGGCCTTCATCTCGAGACGTGATGGTTACCTTGAGGAGAAAGAGCCTAGGTGGGGCTACCTCGGGCATCTGGAGAGGGTAAGCACTTAGCAAGAGCAACACTTCGTCTCGCTGTATGTGCCCTTGTTCAGAATCCGCCTCAGTATACTTGAGGACACCAAATACACTGAACGTTGTCCTTTTCCAGTACACTGCAAAGGATCATTCCAATGGGATAAAATAATCTCCGCCTCATAGCTTGACAGGAGTATCAAAACTAAGCAAAAGGGGATGTAAATCTTTGGTCGGACCAAGGAAAATTGAAACAGCTTGGAGAATGAATCAAGGTTTATTCTTGATTAGTGATCCCTACTGCCTTCATGGCCAAAGTATTCAGACAACTTCTGGAGTAATAGACTCTGATCATCCTAAAACACTCATCGTTGTTCTCTTTATAAAAGTTAAATTTTTGTCCAGTCACGGGAGTGGGGGGTGGTGGGGGCCAGGGAGTTGTAGCTTTTAGAATAGCCTCAAGTAATCTCTTGTTCATAACTCCAGACTAACAATTCAGTGGCTGCTTTGTCTGTATTTAAAGTGAAGCTTCCATTGAGCCTGCTCCATTCATAACCGAGCTTCCCTTGGTCTCGGTTATCTCACAGACCAGTCCATGTAAGCCAGAGAAGGCAGGATGGTAAAGTTCAACAGTGATTTAAAATTCTTCGGCAATATGCAATTTGTGAAATCGTTAACATTGCTGCCAAATTCTATGTCTCCTAATGGTGAACAGAATACGAGAGAAATCTTCAGCATCTATGCGAATGATTTTAAAGAGCATTTCTGGCAGAAAAAGTTTCTTAGTCGATTTCTCAGGAAAAGAAGAAGCTCAAAAAGAGTATTATCAGAAGTGAAGGAGGGTGTGAAGAAGCGCCTGCCAACAAGCAAACGCCTGGCTTGGGAGCATCTGCTTACATCGCCTCTTTGCCCGGTTAACTGGAAAGTAGGGTCCTGCAGGAAGGCTGCTTGCTGTCTTTTAGAGGCCTCGAACTACCAATCAGAGTAGACATGTCACTGAGGTTCTTTGATTCAGGGACCTTTAGATTCAGTTTGCTGCCCAGAAAAGCAAATTTAGAAAGATCAAATGATCCACAAGTGGCCACTGGTTCTGGCTTTAGTAAGGCTAGACCAACCAGACAAAAGACGGGACCAAAAGTTATTCATGTACTACGATGAAGTTTTAAAAATGTACAAAAAATGGAATTAAAACAGAAAGGGATTTTCCCACGAACTTTTGGAAGCCTCCTCCTAGGTAGGAGTCCTCGAACATGGCTGCGGTTTGCCTCTGGAGCAGGCGTTTCCCATTGTCCTTCTGAGAGAGAGAAAAACATCCTCGAAAGAAACAGAAGCAGATCTTCCAGGCAGTCTCGAAGCGCTACAATGCAGGGAGTGGAGCTTAGATTCCAGAGGTGCTGTCCCTTGAGACAATTTCTGAGCGGCTGTGGAGACAGATTCCAAATAGCTTGGCTAGTACCACAGCCCAAGGCCTCGGCACCTCAGGGTCATGGAAGGCACCGCACCTTCCGCATCCCACTAATGAATGAAATATGTCTAAGAAGACCATCTCGTCATCCGTGACGAGTAAGAGCAAAGCATTTTCATGAGGATTTGCAACTGAAGTTGGGCAACACAGAGTGAAATACAGTGCTCCAGCCATTAAGGGGGGGGGGGGGGCATCTTCATAGTGGCTAATCTTTTCCTGACAACATTGTATAATAATAGTTGAGGTAAGCCATTTTCAAGAGCGTGTTCATTTTATGCTCCCAGAACACGGGTACACGTTTTCACAGAACAGCCATCTGTCTTTAGTCCCTCCCCTTATTTGCCCAAGACTGAGGGCCTTCTTTTGCATACCTGTGTATTTTAGTTTTTGCCAACATAATAGTAAATTTGTTTTTTAGGAATTTGAGGTTATTTACATTGATTTCTCATTTATTTCCAGAGTAACCCCAGAATAAGGTGGCTCAGAACCCACATGTATTTTTGAGGGACTTCCCATGCTGTAAGCATGAAAACTCTAGTATCACACTGTGGCCAGGATGTCAGGCAGTGTGCACACTCACTAGCTCAGGTATAATATTCCTCCATGAGCATCGTCATTCACTCTGCTCCTTCGAAGACAATCAGTGCTTCAGAAAGATGTACTACTTAGACTTCCCCTGTTGAGAAGATGATGGGAACATCTATACCAGACAGAGCTGCAGGCATCTGGGACAGTAGTAAGGCCTTGGGGAAAACTGTCGCTTGGTCATTCGCTGCAAAATGATTGTCTGCTGTAACCTAGGTGTGGCTGCACTGGACTGCATTTACAATGGTGTGGTGGTGGTATCTAAAGATCCCCACCCACCGCCACCCCAAATTCAGGAGGCTGCCAGAAAAATAGTATCTGATACCAGAAGAACCTAATGCAAGAAAAAGAAAGGTCTCTTTGAAAAGCCTTCTGATCAATGCACGTGTGGTCACTTTTCAAATAATGTGCAGGCGCTTTCTTCTTTGTCACCTGGGTATAAGATATATACCTTGAACTCGGGGTCTCCAGGAGTGGAATCAGCATGTTTAAGAAAATATATAACTAGGCTATTTATAGACTATTTTAAATGTCCTTTGCTTCTCTGGTTTTTCTGCCTTATTAGATTTATATCTTGATATTAAAAATATCATCTGGATTTCATGTTGCACATGAACCTTTTGTTTTCCATGTGGCATGCACAGCTCCATGATGGCAGAGACAGCAGGAGAAGCAGAAATAGCCATCCAAATGAAGTCGCATTTAAGAGAAACCTGTCTGAGTAGAATGTACTGAGAATGCCCCAGTGGTGCTTTCAATGCTCAGGATGGTGATCCCTTTTCCTAAGTGCGAACAGTTGTCACTAGGAAAGGTTAGCGTGAGAAACATCTGCTGGGTGCGGAAGTGGAATTGTAATATAGTAAGGTTAAAAGTGTTTGGAAGAAAGTGCTGAAATCATTCCTGCCATAAACTTTCCATATGTCGTCAGTGCACATAGAGGGTATATAACAGAGCTACAAAATTAAAACCAAATGTTTTCAAACAGAAGAAAAGCAATTATTGACTGAGGCTTGTAAGGTTGCTATGCAATGCATGTGTGTGCAGATTTCTCAAGCACACAAAACAAAAAGCCATTATATGGGTAGATTAAACCATAGTATGAAAGAAAACTAAGCAATTAGGGGCCTGCTGCCTTCTATTGATAACATGTTTGGATGTGAAAAGCAAAAACCAAAAAAAAACAACAACCACGTAACTTGTAGCTTTTTCTAAAGAAAATTGATCCATTTAAAATAAATCACAATGGGCAATTGTGTAAGCCTGAGGCCATTTTCATTTCAGAGAGTTGATCTTTTAAAGGTACAAACTGTAAAGGACTCTACGTCTGAAGCCTTGAATAGAAAGTCTACCATGTACCGTTAAGACAAAGGCCGCCTGGCTTCAAAGCCAGGAGCGTTCATCTTAGTTTGCATTTGGTGGAGGAGGAAGTAGCCTGGGAAATATTTTTTGCCTTGGGTGTGTTCTATAATGTGAACGTTACTGACCACTGGCGTTTACGTTTGCACAACCACAATCAGCATGTTAGGATTTATGTGTTTTCGTTACATTCAGAATTATTCCTAAAAGGTTACTCCATCTTAACTAGTATATGCTTTCCTTAATGAATTTTTTTTAATCTAGAAAGTCCACTCTAGTGACTAATATTGAAACTTGTAGTCTGTCGGTCTACGTAATTTTGCTTAGCTATGAAATTAATTGTTGGTGTAGCATAAGAGTTTAATTTTAAAATAGGAATTTGGGAACAGACTTGAGTGGCAAATTTAGTTATTGAAAATGACTTGTTTATCTTGTGTTTGAATGAGAGTGGACACGTGGTGTTTAATTGGCTCTAGGACCTGACTGTTGGGTTGCTAGCTGTGTTAGTCTGGGTGGACTAGAGAAACAAATTCATAGAGACACTCATATGTGTATAAGAAAGAGCTTTATATACAAGAGCAGTTGAATAGTGAGGAAACATCCCAGCCCAGTCCAGATCAAGTCCAAAAGTTCAATATTAGCCCACATGTCTGATACCAATCTATAAAGTCCTCTTCAGACTCAGGAAACACATGCAATGACGTTGAATGCAGGACGATCACAGGCCAGTGGGTAGGAAGTCTTTGGATCCAGTGGCTCTAAGCATCTCAGCGCTGGCAGGGGTCTCTATGTGACTTCTCCAGGTCCAGGGTTCTGGCTGCGTCAGGGTAGGTCCATGTGGCTTTTCCTCGGGGATGTCTCGCAGGGAGTCAGCCTTGTGTCTTGTCAGTAGAGCATCTCCAAGGGAGTGAGTCAATAGAGAACATGTCTCACCTGCAAGGAGGAAATACCAGAGTTCCCAGAATTCTCAGAAGGCCATGCCCACACAGAGGCCTCATTGGCTATAGCCTAGTTTACAGACTAGACTCCACCCCTTCACTCGTAATCCTCTCAAGTCCCAAATCGACACCAGATTACGTAGCTACCACACTAGCTTTGTGACTTTGAACATGTTACTTGGCCTGTGCCTGCTTCCGTTGTGTCTCGTACGGTTGTTGTGAGACTTCAGTGGGGTAATATGGCCTATGTAAAGCCCAAGAGCAGCTGTGTATTTGGTGAGGGGGAGACACTATTATTTATTTACTTTCATAATATTACTTTAAAAGAACAATAAGGAAAAACTGCCTGTGTCGTACTCCCTTAAAGTATAAATGTGTCGTCGTGTTTAAATGTCCTGATTACAGTTGTGATTTGATAATACCTGTAAAGACACCCACGGGTGAAGTTAAGAGTTCAGAATGTAGAAATCAGCTATCTATTCCAAGAGGCATATAGTGGCTTTTTTCTAGAATGTCAGTTAGAGCTGCCAGCTTTGTTTATAACTGTTAGTATAATCGTGAAGAAATCACACAAATGGATGAGTCCGAAGCCTCTTTCAATGAGCCAGAAGTGGCGTCACAGCAGCAAATGAACAAACATTGGCGAGAATTCGAGCATCATGGCCCACAATGAAATGCGCCCTCCCCACACCTCATTATAAAAAGTCAAGAAACCTAAAATTGGCCTAACACATTTTGAATTTTAGGAAAAGTTCAAATCTTTCAGTAGAATGTAGTGACAGAGAAGGTGGGAAGGGCTTCCGAAAGAAAGGGGCTTTTGATGGTAGGATTGGTACCATAGACTAGGAAGAGACAAGTCCCTGGCTGGTACAAATCATGGATGATGCACTTCGCTGTAAGCACCACGGGAAAGGCCTGGCAACCTACCTTCGAAACGGCAGCCCTGGAATGCCCTGAGAAGGGCCGTGCTCCTCCGACACAGGCTCGCTCTAGTCAGCCTCTCACTGACTGGAGCCACCCGCGTGGCCTGCAGAAGCACAGCGTGGTAACAGATATTCACTGAGCTCTAGCTAAAAAGTACTATTCAAGGTACAGCAATAAACAAAAAAGACATATCTCTACGCTGAGGGGCCTCACAGTCTAATGTGTATGTATGTCCATTATATTTTTGTAGTCTGTATGTGTGTATCATTGCTGTTTTTAGGAGCATATAGAATGTGAGGAAATAAAGGCAGCAAATATATGTTTCCCTGCAGGGGTCCTGGGTGAGAAGAGAAGGAAGAAAGGAAGGTTACACATCTGCATGAAAACAAACAACAACAAAAAAACAAATAGTGGTCAAGTCCACTCTGACTCAAGGCGACCCCTTGTGTGTCAGGGTTTTCAGTGCTCATCTTTCAAAAGTAGACCAGGCCTTTCTTCTGGGGTGCCCCTGAGTGGATGCAAGCTTCAACCTTTTGATTAACAGCTAGTCCTCTGGCCCACCCAGGGACTTTAGATACCTGTACCGGGTCATAAATGATGGGGATCTAACAAGTTCTTCTCTTAGGAAAGAGAGCACTTTGTGTTGCTTCTAAACGGCCTTTGTGATTTTTCTTTGCTCTATAGTTACGCAGCCCTGATAGCCGACTGGCCTGTGGTGGTCTTGGGCCTGTGCACCGTGTTTATCGTGGTCTGTGCCTTGGTCGGCGTGTTAGTCCCAGAGCTTCCCGACTTCTCTGACCCATTGCTGGTAAGAAGGATCTGCCAGTACAATTGGCTTCTCTCTCATCTTTAGCCCAGATCATCTGAAAAAAAATGGAAGTCTTTGTGTTACATGTACCCCATTTCTGTTTCAGACGTTTCCAGACGTCAGTCAGCAGACAACTCTCCTACACTTGAGACCATGTGTCTTACTTGCTGTAAACAATCTGCAAGTTTTCCTTCTGGATTCCCATGTCTAAGCTAAAAAAGATGGAGACTGAATACTATTGAAGCAGTTTTATACATTCTTTAAGACTGAGTGTGTATTTTCCCCAAAGGAAATTAAAACAATTTTCATATTTTTAACAGATAGCAGGTTTTGTTTTAGCTCATTTGAACCTTCTGAAGTGGAATACTGAGGGAAACAATGCATTTGCATCTAGTATAATAAATCATACTCTTTGTCAAAACACTCCAACGTACATAATTTAGTTTGACCATATTTTTTGTTGCATAAAATTAATTACTTGCAAGATTCTTAGGGGTGGAGTAGAAAGATAAGCTCCTGGTAGGCTTTTTCCACTCTGAGACATGTAGGGGAACAAAGAATCAGCACTGTTTGTCCGGGATAGGTGATCATGACCATGTCATCTTGGGTTCACGTTCTTCTCCTCGGGTAGCTGTGAGCAATGTCTGTGTGTTTGGCTGAAAGCCATGGATCACTTTGACAACCCTTTTCCAAACTCTAATCGGGACTACACTTCCCCTGACATGAACTGCTTTAACGGGAATGTGTCATATTTTGCTCTAGGGTTTTGAGCCCAGAGGGACCGCAATAGGCCAAAGACTGGTCACTTGGAATAACATGGTGAAAAATACTGGATACAAAGCAACATTGGCAAATTATCCTTTCAAATATGCAGATGAGCAAGCCAAAAGGTAAGTTTTTAAATGTAGACAATGCATTGCTTAATGAATTCCACACTTAAAAATGTAAAAAAAAAAAAAATGCTACTGAATTTATTTAACTTGGCTTTTTTTTTTTACTTTTTGTTCTGTTAGAATGTAAAGGTTAGGTTTTCTTTGTCAACAGTGAAAAAATTACTTGCTTATATTAAAGGCTTCAAAAAGAAGGAAAATTGAATTAAAAGATAGTGGAAATTTCCCACAATTTCTTTGAAATCCCCCCACCCCACCCCGCATACAATCCAAGGAACTTTGACAGCACTGTTGAGTAGGTGTTGGGCTGCGAACCTCGAGGTCAATTGTTCAAACCCACCAGCTATTCCTTGGGAGAAATTTCAGGCTGTCAGCCCCCGTGAAGGTTTACAGCCTTGTTGGAATTGACTTTAATATTAATTACTAAATAGGTCCTGGCTTTCAGGATATATTGTTGCACATATATTTCTAAGTCTTAAACTAGCAAGAGGCTTATGGGAGATTAACTTTTTGGTCTATTTCAGCCATCGGGACGATAGATGGTCAGATGATCATTATGAACGAGAAAAGAGAGAGGTTGACTGGAACTTCCACAAAGACAGCTTTTTCTGCGACATTCCAAGTGAGTGGCTCCATTTATGGGGAAGACGTCCCTCTGCAATTACCTTGAGATTGCACATGACTGTGCTCCAGCCCAGTGTTTCCCAAAGTGGGGTTTCTAAGGGTAGTAGGTGAAATAAAGCTAGGCACCAAAGCTCTAGACTGGAATATGTGACCCATATTCACACAGCTGCAATGTTTCTCTTGTGCGCTAAGAGATTTTAGCTTAATTGCTCTTTATTTGACTAAATCAACTGCTAATGTGCGTTTACTTCCTTATAAAATCAGTAAGCGATGATGGAGTTACATTTAGTTCTAAGGAAGATCTAAATTTAATAAAATGCTTGACTGTTCCAAAATTTTCAAGTTATTTTTAAAACTCTTTGTATGGTCTATTTTAAAGATATCTTAGTTAAGTATTAAGTCCATTTTTATCTATACCCTGAAATAATGCATCTTATCCAACAGAGTAATTTAAAATGTAGATTCATTCAAAAAGCATATTCCCGCCTCAGCACTAGGCATCAGAGATAAAGAGAAGGGGAAAAATCAAGTCCAGGGGTCCAGAGCTTGAATGCTACAGAGCCCTGACATGAATATGAATGAGTGAAGCTGACTCACTGTAAGAGAAGACAATCATGAAAGTAGTGACTGAGGCCTTTGCCGAAATGAGGGCCCAAGGTGGCAAGAACACTTCAGAGACCATGAGTCCAGATTTAGGTCTCTAAATGCAGGCAACACATTCACTGTGCAAGCAAAACAAGTGTTATAGCCGACAGGAGAGGAGATGATCTTGACCTAGGGGAAATAGAGTAAAAGCTGTGAAAGATGAACCTTGTGAGGGAAGGAAACCATAAATATGTTCCAGGAATAGAGAGCAGTAGAGAAGTGGCGAGGCTGTACACTGTCAACACCAGGAAACTTGGGAGACCAGCACAATCCCATCAAGACTTCACTGTATCTGAAGACAGGCGTGGCCAGGTGACACTGTTGGGTAACTGCTGGTCTAGCCAGAAGGTGTCTGGGATGCCCGGCCTGGTGATCTTCGGAAAGGCCGCAGGCTGGAGATCCCTAGGGAGCAGTTCTCTGCAGCACACGTGGAGCCCCCACGTGGTGACATCGACTACAGCAACTGACAGGTGGTGGTGGTGGCCAGGTGCCATCCAGTTGGTTCTGACTCAGAGCGACCTAACGTACCACAAAACGAAACACCGCCCAGTCTGCGCCATCCGCGCACCATTTAAGTCATTAACTAGTTCGCTTCTAGTGACGAGGAGCAAAGAGCTGTGACTAATGGCATTTTCTAATTAACTGACTATTAAAACAGTCACCTTGCTTCCTCTTGTTGAAAGTCCTTCTTCACTGTGTATTTTATTAGATCACTAGAGGATAGAAGACCTCATTGGATCTTTGGTGTCTCTAGGTGTTGCTGAGACTCTTCTCTTAAGATACAGTGAAAACCGATGAGAGTCAACAGAATGTGACCAGTCGGCCTTGTTTTTTCCAGGTCACACAGTGTTTTGCCTTTGACAGGGCAGCCTTGCTACTTTTCTGATGCTAGCTATTCAGGTCCAGAAAACTAAACTCAATGTCATTGAGGCTGTGACGACTCAGAGCGACCCTCTAGGACAGAGTAGAACCGCCCCTGTGGGTTTCTGAGGCTGTAACTTTGCGCGAGTAGGACGCCTCATCTTTCTCCCATGGCCGAAGCTTCCAGGACTCCCGTGTAAGTCCATTTGGTCGAAAGTGAAATACTTCATTTGTTTCATTATCAATATCTTTATAAACCAATCTTTATTTGTCTTTGAGGGTTGCCATGACAATAGCATCAACCAAGTGCAGCATTATACATCACCTATATTACTAACAAGATCTACCCAAAAAATGACAGTTCTCAGTGCAATTCATTCTAACTCAAAGAGATTGTAAATTGGGACTTAGCTGTAGTAGAATCTACTTTGTGTTTTCCTTCTCTGGTAAGTTTTTTCTTTACATAGCTAGGGTCCAGCTTTCACAGGTTTTACTGTATCAGGAAAGTTGAGTTCTGGCTCGTTGCGTGCTTTCGCTATTGATTTCTCTCAAAGTATTGCTATGTTATGGCTTGCCAAACACCCTGTAGTTAATATCTAAGCTAGGAAGAACATTGTCAAATGCATCAAATAAAGGCCTGTTTATATTTCAGTCATCCACACCTTTTGTCTCCTAAGTAATAAGTTCTTCTTTGACTAAAGCCATGACTGGCTCCGTGTAAATGAAAATGTTGCCATTTCCACAGTGCTTATTTTACTCTCCAGAACCAATCAGCCTAATAGTCATCTGATGAACACATCCTGATTGTGAATAAAACCTCATGGAATAAGGCTTTAATCATGTATTCGTTATCACCAGTAGGCATTTTAGATCATGTAAAATGAATCTATATTGTTTTCCTTGGTTCATATTTTTTTTAATGACTGAGGAGACAAGTAATATTCATTGAGCACCTGTTTTTAGTCTCTCTCTTTAACTCTCAAAACTATTTGAAGTAGGTGCTGCTGTCTCCACTTTTCACCATGAACACCAGTGCTCAGGGAAGTTAGGTGCCTGAGGTCACACACTGTAAACAAGAGTGCTTGGTGACACCCAGGTGTGGCTCCCACAGCCATGCTCTGTCCAGTGTTACACAACCCATTCCTCAGTAACATGTTTTTCTAGTAAGCCGATTTTCAAACTTTTTCTAGTTTTTCTAGTTTTCTAATTCTCTACCAGAATGTGGGGTTTGCGTCTGATGCAGGCAGCATTCTCTACTTAGCTGTTTTTAGTGCTTTGAAATCCATCACCTGTCTGTCATCTTTCCTCTGGCTAGCTGCCAATGAGAACTTCCTTGTAACCCATTCTTGATATTCCCTAATGACTCATTCTTCGATTTTTTTTTAATACCATTATGATATGTTATGAAATTAAGAAGACGTTGAACTGATTTCCTACCGAAAGTTCTTTATGGATTCTTCTTCCTAATTTTAGACAGATCAGAAGTAGGTTTCATTTCTAAATGTTGTAATTCCAAGATATAATGAATACAGAAGGACTTTGAGCTAAGGTAATATTTTAGCATTTGTCGGGTTTTTTTGGATTTTCTCCTGGATTCCATCAACAAATGGATCTTCCTCTGCTAAAGAATTGTCCATGTGGTTTTTCAATTTCAATTGTTTATAAATGTTGAGTCTCATGGAATATATGAATAATTCATAACTCTTTGTCTTTTTGTTTTCTCTATCACCAGGTGATCGATATTCCAGAATGGTATTTACTTCAGCTGGAGGGGACACATTATGGAATTTACCTGCAATCAAATCAATGTGCAATATAGATAATTCAAGGGTATGTGAATAAAGCTGAAGTCTCTTTTTAATATAAATCAGCTTAAACTATTAAGGCTCCTTTTACTGCTAAGCTGGCGTCTAATCCGACCCAGTACTAAAATGGCTCACCTCCTGAGGTGGCTACACCAGCAGACCAGCCCTGCATTCTTTCCGATCCCAGGATCAAAGTCTCTTTGCTTCCCTGCCCTTCAAATGTGCTATCTGCCTTATAATGAACCTTTTTTATTATTGCAAAGCATAGTTCTGTTCAGGATAATTAATAGCTCAGGCTTTTCCTCATTCTCTTATTTTATTTTATTTTCTGTTCTTCTTTTCTTCCCCCAGTCCCACCCAGCTCTTGCATGTACTCTCACTCTTTCTGTAGCTATCCCCTTCTTGACAAAAGGAAGAACTGAGTCCAGTTTAATTGTTCCTTCTATCTCCCCACCCCACCCCCACCCCCACCCCACCCTCGAAGGCCATTGTCAGCGTCTTAGTTATGCAGCTAAATACCTGCCTTTCAGGCTACCCATGGGTCATTTGGGCTAGTGACCTCAAAGGAAAATTTAGGGCCCAGACTAGGGAAGGGGACATCAAAGGGCATTTAAACATAGTATCTATGTAAATAGCCCACGTAATCCAACCCAGATTACCTTGATGTCTCATTGCTTCAGAAGACCAGAAAGATGTCAGGAGACCGTGACTGCCTCCCTAAGTCTTCTCTGAAGCCCAATAATTCTAAAGTTCACCTCTGGGCTTGGGAGAACTGTCAGTTGCATGTTTCCAGGGGTCGTCGCCAAGTAGAAGCTACTATCTCATTGAACTGATGGACCTGTCCAAGCACAGTAACCAGGCTGAAAAAGGAGCTCATTGTATTCCTAGCATAAGTCCACAAGGGAAAGTCACTGCTTAGTCAAAAATTGAATAATGGGTCCATGCTAAGAGCCAGCCTGACAAACCTGTGCAGATCAGTCACCTGATCTCTCAACAAGGTGTCTCAATGGAGTAGTTGGGACAAAAGATTCTTAGAGATCCTCTTTATCAGTAGTCTCATTATGCTGCTACAAGGAGGAATACAGAATACATATAACATACCTACACAAATAATGTGCATTATCCATATGAAACGCATAAGTTGCTAATGCCAGAGGGACGATCACGTGTGTCAATTGTGTGAAAATATGGTACTCTGGGAGCCAGATGGTTACCCAGGTCACCTAGTGAGTTTCTCTCTCATCTCCTGGCTTTGCTCCGTTCCGCATTCCACGCGGCGGCCGCAGTGAAACATGCTCTCCTCCACCAGGCTTGACCCTTCCTCCAGTGGTTGTGAGTGACCCCATCACTCCCGCCCCACAGTCTCTCCGGAGGTGTTGTGCTGCGTCTTGGAATAAGTTTCCTCTTACTTTTGTTCTGTTTTTAGAGCTCGCAGTTTATTTGTTGAGTACATTTTAGGCTCTGAATATACTCAGACTCGAGAGCCAACAAGCTCCTGTGCCATTATATGTATCAACGTGTATGACGTCGAGGACGCTAAGTCCACTTCAGTTTACTTGTCCTCCTTTTGTCCACACTCAGAACAATGTTTCGATCTGAGGAGTAAGGAATCTAGAGGGTTTTTTCCCCCAAGAAGTAATTCTGTTTTATTTATTTACTTATTTATTTTTCATGTTAAACCCTTTTTTTGTCACCTCCACCCTTCCACCCCATGCCTTTATAACTGTGATTTCTTTACTATGTATGTATTAGATGATAAAAATATGTATGCATTAGATGATAAAAATCAGCATATTGGGGTACCTTAGCAAAAGATGTACACCAAAGATAAATAAGTTAAACGAATTATAGAAATGGGAAAGAAAGAACGGTAAGGATCAGGCTTAGCAAACCTAACGTGTATGCCCCACAATCGCTCTGTGCATATGCTGGTAGTAAGCTACAAACATGCCTCTAAGCTCCCTGGCAACCAGAAGGGAAAAATAAGAAAAGTTACCAGTCAATGACAAAAATCAGAAATCGGTAACATGTTGAGTTTTAGAATAAATCCAGCTTTTCCACACACTGAAACCGGACCGTTGGCCACCACTTTCATGAAAGACTGCTGTGTGCTGCCGGACTCACAGGGCAGCAGTGGCACCATGGAGGCACACTGCTGACCCTCTGCTGATTAGTGAAACATACCTCAAGTTGTTAGCAGGAAAATATTAGAGTATAAGCATTTCTACAAGAATTGAACAATATGACTTGATGCATTTGTAAAGCTGAGATTATCTAAAGGCATACCTGTATACTGCTTGCCTATATAATTCTTTATACTGAGCTCAGGATAAGAGTTGGACAATTAAGAGTTTACATCTGTAGGTCCTGGCAGGAACACGGCAAGCATACTTTCTGGTCGCCAATGAAGAGCATAACTAAACAAAGGGGCTTCAAAAAAGTCTTAGGAAAAAGCAAGTTTATCTTTCCATTCCATTTGTCCATGAGCCTTTTGAAGTTCCTCCGTGTGCTCTGGCTATTCTGCTTTGGGAAGAAGGTCATCTGTGGTCCTCTCACGAGTATTTGACAACCAAGGCTTTTGTTTGGATAAATGGTTGGTTGTATATTGCCCTAACAAGTATAGAAAACGATAATCAAGACCCAAAAGTTTACCTCAAAGAGCATGCTTATAATTTTAGCATGAAAAATTGAGCACCGTTTAAAAAAAATTCAAACATCTTTATTTTCTAATTTCAAACTCCACCGTGAACTCAGAAAATGAATCTTTTCATGAAGATAATTTATGCATCTCGTATCTTGAAGTAAACATAAACATTTTGACTAGCAGCTTAAGTTTCCAATTATCACCGTACCATTTTCAAGTCTCTCAGCTGTGTACCATTGAAATACTTTGGTTTGTTATGATGGTTTGTTTGAGCAGGCTCTGTCCTTAGAATATTTGGCAGTCTTTCCCTCTCCCCCACCCCCACCCCCCACGCTCAAATGCTAGTTATTGTACTTAAAGCTCTTGATTATTAACAACTATCAAGTTGATGGGTCCAACACAAAATGATACAGAGCAGAAGAACCTAATTGCTGAGGAGCTGACTCCAGAACGTGTCTGGCAATCAGTGTAAATAGCTCAGTGAGACCAGATGCTTTGCTTGTCGCTTGCGTGTGCTTCCAGCACATTTAGTTCAATCTCTAGGTTCCATTTATAAATCACATGCCACTTTTAACTCGGACAAGCATCCGTCTCCAACATGCCTGTTTCTGATCCTGTTAACCACCTCCTCGTGGACATGCTGTTTTCTTAGATTCTCCCAAATGGTGTTTCAGTTGCTTCTCCTGATTTTCTTAATTATTTCATCTTGCTTTTCAACTTCCTAGGGGACTGGCAGTCATTACCAACAGGGCCCTGCATGTAATGTGCATAGCCCCCATGGACTCTGGAGGTTTGAGGAGGTTGCATGAGGCTTGCGTGAGAAAGCAGTTCTTGGAGGCAGCATACCTGTAGTAGCCGAGAGGGCAGCTGTTCTCGCAGCCACACTCCCTGGAGACCTTCTCACCGTGGCTCTGTTTTCATGTTGTAGCAGTCTGAGCTCTCAGGAGCCTTTGTAAAATGATTGTGAAATTTCCTTCCTGAGACCCTGTTTACTGTGGCAACTCTGTGGACAGCCAGAATCCCCTCGAAGCTGACAAAACCCCAGAAACTTATTTCTTAAGCCTGGTTTTCAAAGCTATGGGGCCCTTGTTTTGTTTGTTTGTTGTTGTTTTCCTTGGCAAAGCTCCGCTTAGTCTATTAAGATGTTGATACATGGGGAAAGAGAGGCCAGCCTATTGAGCCTCGTGTTGGGGGTTTAATTTCCTCCCTTTTTCTTTTCCTGGAGCCCTGGTGGCATAGTGCTTGTGAGTTGGGTTGCTAACAGATAGTCAGCAATTGGAAACCACCTTCTACTCTGTGAGAGAAAGCCAGGCTTTCTACTCCTGTAAAGAATTACAGTCTCCGAAACCCACAGGGGCCGTTCTACCCTGTCCTGTAGGGTTGCGATGAGTCAGCATCGTCTTGGAGTCAGTGTTTGTTTCGTTTCATTTTTTAATTCTATTCTCAGTATTTAAGACAACTTCTCCCATTTAGCCAGTAGTTCTAGAAGTCAAGCCTTCATTACAGACAGGGCTTGTTTCCCTTTTTCTCTCTCTTCTCTTCCTTTACCCCCTATTTTAAGTCAACTCCACCCTTGCTACTGTCCAACAAGGGGCATGCGCAAAGACATAACCACATAAGCAAAACGATTCCCTGCATGTCCCCTTGGTGAATAAATAGAATTAGAAGGGCTGTGTTCCTCATGAGAATTACAAGAAAGTGCTCTCAGTTACTGTTTTGATTTTTGTAAACCTCAAAGATTTTGAAATGATTCCCTTTTCCAAAAATACACCAAAAACATACAGCTGCTTTTAACACGAAGATCTATCTGCCTGCCAGTCTCTCTGAACCCACAATCTGTGCCTCTTTGCTTAACTTCTTGATTACAAGAGCTCTTTGGTGTCACTTTCCTACCACATGGAAAGATGTTGCCACTCCTTCCCAGGGACCTTAGGCCTTTATACATAAAACAGTATTTCTCTTACAGAGTTATAATTATATTCTGTCTGCTTTCCCCTGCCACAGAGAGCACCGTAGGGAAGTGTAAGTGCCCAGCAAACACTTTTTCTTTAGGATGGATGGATGGGGCATATGGCCCTATTTCCTGAAAGCCTGGACAGTCTCTTTTGCTAATTCCTGTAGCTTCAGGGGTGCTGGCACCCAACTCAGGTTAACAGAAGTGAAACAATTAAATCGGAGTTATGCAGTCACAATGTTATTTCAGTTTCTTCTTATCCTGGAAGGGTCCTGCAAGGAGTCCTGGCAGAGCAGCAGTTAAGCACTTAGCTGCACCAGGGAGAAAAAACCTGGCTGCTTGGCCCTGTACAGACTACAGCCTAGAAAACCCTAGGGGACAGTTCTACCTGACACAATGGGTGGCATGAGTGGAAAATGAGCTTAGTGGCATCATAAACAGCATAGAATCCTTTAATAAGACTATCTTTCCAAAGCTTGTGTATCAACCAAGATCACTTTGAATTTGAGGGTTAGCTGTCTGGTGACTTACTAACCTTCATTTTTGATCGCAGCCATCAAAGTGGTCCATGTATATCATGCCCATTGTTTTAATCTTAGGTCAAATATACCCATAAAAAAAAGCCCTGCTCTTATTTGAGAAGGTCATTCAAGGACAAAATCCTGTGTGTTCTTTCCAATTTTAGCTGGCAACCATATTTCCCTTCTCTTTGGCAGCTTTTTTTTTTTTTTTTTAATCAGCAACTGTCAGTTCCTTCTATCGTGGATAGTGGACATGGTTCATTTTCTTCCATCTGAAAACTATCAGGCATTGGGTGCATCACCTTTCTTTCAATTCCCGGTGTTTACCCTAGGGGTTTGCATGTTTATTTCTTTGCAGAGCAAAACTGGTTACCGGCCATGAAAGCCAAAGAGATGTTATCCCAGGGTTTCCCGTTATTTATTAGGTAGTTCATGTTTCCCAAGTTAATATACGTGAAGGTTTTTACCTGGAAACAATCAAATATGAGTGATCCTGGTTTATGAAAGGCCAAGTAAGCATCACTCTTAAAAAAGGAGCATTAACATTTAAGCTCCTGTGTTAAAGTGAAAGTTATTTTAGTCATTCGAATAAGAATCCTTTTTGCTTATTTTTCTTTAACCCCAATAAAATTTTTTTTAAAGAAACAAAATTTATCATTGGGAATTTTTTCGAATATTGGCCAAAGTAGAGACTGCTGTGATGAATTCCCACATGGAGCTCACCAAGCTTCGATAGTTCTCAACACACAGTTACTCTTGTTTCCAATTAGTCCTGAAAAGGGCTCTTGAAGAACTCTGTTGGCACTGTGGTGATGAGCACTTGCCTGATAACTGAAAGGCTAGCTGTTTGAACCCCCCACCCCCCTGGCTCCACAGGAGAAAAATCCTGTCAATCTGCTTCCCTAAAGCCTGCATCCTAGGAAACCCTAGCAAGCAGTTCTCCTCTGTCATAGAGGGTCACACTGAAACAGCATCAGCTCAGCACCGAACAACAACACGGAATTTTAACCAGGACTTCTGACTGTTCCACCCCCTTCCTTGCTGAGCATCTGCAGATCCACCCCAGGTATACTGCACCAGCTTCTGCTTCCAAGTAATTTGGGGTGAAGTGGCAGCAGGGAATCAAACTGGAATGAACTAGTTAAAAGCCCTGAGTAGTGACTTAGTTCTGAGAGGAGTGCAAATTCCAGAGGTGATTGGTGCTGACTTCTCTTTGGCAGCACCACTGATAACATCTACCTTAATAAAGATAAGGGCTTCTCTTCATTCTACCCGGAAGAAGTGACCACACCTGCTTGAACTTTGGGAGCCTCCTCCCGGCCACAGCCTTGATAAGCAGAGATGAGGCGAAGTGGGAAGACTAGAGTCGTCTTTCCCTCTGGTACTTCCAAAGCGAACACGCTAGGTAGGCTCCAGAGGAAGGACGGTGATTCCTTTTTCACCCGCAGGAAACAGGGGCGCGTTCCTCTAATCTGCAGTGTTTTAGGGCAGTGAAATTGTGCAGGCCTCACCGTAATCTAGTAATGCCATTAATGGGGCAAATTTTCAATCTTCGCATAAAAACAGCACTAAGAAGAAAAGTCGTCGTAGGAATGGTGTGTTCAGTGAAACCCTGCCCACGTGAAGCCCAGAAGTAGCACATTTGCTCCCATGTAAGCAATCCTCCATTTACCCAAAGAGAAGATTCCTTAAAGCATTTTAGCCAACTGAGTAAACGTTTAAAGATGGGAAAGAAGATTATGTTCCTACTAAATTGTTATCTGAACGGCATCTCTCTATTTTAACTATCACACATATATTTTCATTTCGAAAAGTGTCCATTTCCCCCTCATAGATCAGGAAGCAATCTCACTCCAAATCTTTCACGCATCTTTGGCAGCAGTATCTTGGACATCACCAAAGTCACTTTTTAAGTCACCTGACCAGTTTGCCGGTTTGCTAAGCGACATCATTTTTGCTTCCAGCCAAATTCATCAAGGTACTTTTATCACCAAAATGTTCATGCCAGTAACACAAACTTTAAGCCAAGCCAACTTTCAGCAAATGTCCCATGTGTCAACTGGACGATTTTTCAGTCCTCTAGCTGACCACAGGCGCTTTACAACCTATTCATTTTATTGTTTTTTAAAGTGCTGTACAGTGAACCCTCGTCCGCGGCTTCACTCTATCGTAGTTTTTGCGTAACAGCGCATGCTCTGTCATTACTGCCACTGATTGGCTCATACTGTACACGCTTGATGCCATAAATAACATAATAAATAATAAATGATAATTGTAACGTCCAAAATGTTTTACTGCATTTTCCCTTTTTTGTTTAATCAATTGGGTAATACGAGTGTAATGGTGACTAAAGGGTGTTTTTTCATGTCCTCTACGCTCTAACTACGAAAATATTTGATTTACAAATAAGGAATCCTACTTCGCGGAATTTCATTTATCACGGTAGGGTGTAGAACCGATTAACCGCGATAAACGAGGGTTCACTGTATTTAGAAAGTCTTGTCTGTGTGGTAGATGTTACTCTGGTCTCCTGAAGGGAACACTGATTGGGGAACCACCAGGAAGAGCCCCTGGTGATTGAGGGGACCGGGAGGAAGGGGGTGACGACAGCGGGATCTCACCTTATATTCAAATGAATACTTAGTATATGAGGAGGGTGACCTAACTTTGCCTGTCACTCAAGACCACCCTAAGTCTGGCCTTTCTGAAACCCGATTTTCACCTGCAGCCCTTCTGGTGTCTGTCCCTACAGATCAGATCCCACCCCCAGTTTGGCGATCTCTGCCAGAGGACCACTGCCGCCTCCTGCTGCCCCAGCTGGACGCTGGGCAACTACATCGCCATTCTGCACAACAGGTCGTCCTGTCAGAAAATCGTGGAGCGAGACGTGGCTCACACCTTGAAGCTGCTCCGGACCTGTGCCAAACACTACCAGAATGGCACGCTGGGGCCAGACTGTTGGGACACGACGGCCAGGAGGAAGGACCAGCTCAAGTGCACCAGCGTGCCTCGGAAGTGCACCAAGTACAACGCCGTGTACCAGATCCTCCACTACTTGGTGGACAAGGACTTCCTGGCCCCCAAGACGGCCAGCGACGCCTTGCCAGCTTTGAGGTACAGCATGCTCTTCTTGCCCACGGAGAAAGGGGAGAGCATGATGGACATCTACTTGGACAACTTCGAGAACTGGAACGCCTCTGACGGCGTCACCACCGTCACCGGCATTGAGTTTGGCATCAAGCACAGCTTGTTCCAAGATTACCTGCTGCTGGATACCGTGTACCCTGCCATCGCCATCGTGATTGTCCTGTTCGTCATGTGTGTCTACACCAAGTCCATCTTCATCACCCTGATGACCATGTTCGCCACCATCAGCTCCTTGATCGTGTCCTATTTCCTCTACCGGGTCGTCTTTGACTTTGAGTTCTTCCCCTTCATGAACCTCACCGCCCTCATCATCCTGGTGGGGATTGGCGCCGACGACGCGTTTGTCCTGTGCGACGTCTGGAACTACACCAAAGTGGACAAGCCTCACGCCGACACGGCGGAGACCGTGAGCGTCACCTTGCAGCACGCCGCCCTCTCCATGTTTGTCACCAGCTTCACCACGGCAGCGGCCTTCTATGCCAACTACGTCAGCAACATCACGGCCATCCGGTGCTTTGGGGTGTACGCGGGCACGGCCATCTTGGTGAATTATGTGCTGATGGTCACCTGGCTGCCAGCCGTGGTGGTCCTGCACGAGCGGTACCTCCTCCACATGTTCAGTTGTTTCAGGAAGCCCCGGCAGCCGCTGCACGACACCAAGAACTGCTGGACGGCGGCCTGTCAGAAGTGCCACAGAGCCCTCTTTGCCATCTCCGAAGCCTCGCGGATTTTCTTTGAGAAAGTCCTGCCGTGCATTGTCATTAAGTTTCGCTACCTGTGGCTGTTCTGGTTCCTTGCCCTGACCGTGGGCGGGGCCTACGTGGTGTGCGTGAACCCCAAGATGAAGCTGCCCTCCCTGGAGCTCTCGGAATTCCAGGTCTTCCGGTCCTCCCACCCTTTCGAGCGCTACGACGCCGAGTACAAAAAGCTCTTCATGTTTGAGCGCGTCCACCACGGAGAGGAGCTCCACATGCCCATCACGGTGATCTGGGGCGTGGCCCCCGAGGACAACGGCAACCCCCTTAACCCCAAGAGCAAAGGCAAGTTGGCTTTAGACAGCACTTTTAACATTGCCAGCCCGGCCGCCCAGGTCTGGATCCTGCGCTTCTGTCAGAAACTGAGAAATCAGACATTCTTCTACCAGACGGACGAGCAGGACTTCACCAGCTGCTTCATCGAGACATTCAAGCAGTGGATGGAAAACCAAGACTACGACGAGCCGGCGCTGTACCCCGGCTGCAGCCACTGGAGCTTCCCCTACAAGCAGGAGGTTTTCGAGCTGTGCATCAAGAGAGCCATCATGGAGCTGGAGAGGAGCACCGGCTACCACCTGGACAGCAAGACCCCGGGGCCCCGCTTCGACATCAACGACACCATCCGGGCCGTCGTGCTGGAGTTCCAGAGCACCTACCTCTTCACCCTGGCCCACGAAAAGATGCACCAGTTCTACAAGGAGGTCGACGCCTGGATTGCAAACGAGCTGCGCGCCGCGCCCGAAGGCCTGAGCAACGGCTGGTTTGTCAGCAACCTGGAGTTCTACGACCTCCAGGATAGCCTCTCAGACGGCACCCTCGTGGCCATGGGGCTCTCGGTGGCTGTGGCGTTCAGCGTGATGCTGCTCACCACGTGGAACATCATCATAAGCCTCTACGCCATCCTGTCGATCGCCGGCACCATCTTTGTCACGGTCGGCTCGCTCGTCCTGCTGGGCTGGGAGCTCAACGTCCTAGAGTCCGTCACCATCTCCGTGGCAGTCGGCTTGTCCGTCGACTTCACTGTCCACTACGGGGTGGCGTACCGCCTGGCTCCGGACCCCGACCGTGAAGGGAAGGTCATCTTCTCCCTGAGCCGCATGGGCTCGGCCATTGCCATGGCCGCCCTGACCACCTTCGTGGCGGGGGCCATGATGATGCCCTCCACCGTGCTGGCGTACACCCAGCTGGGCACCTTCATGATGCTGATCATGTGCATCAGCTGGGCCTTTGCCACCTTCTTTTTCCAGTGTATGTGCCGGTGCCTTGGGCCACAGGGGACCTGTGGCCAGATTCCGTTACCCAAAAAACTACAGTGCAGTGCCTTTTCCCATGCCTTGTCCACCAGCCCCGGCGACAAGGACCAAAGCAAAGCGCAGACCACGAGTGCGTACCATGTAGCTCCCAAGGGCCAAAACGCTGAAGAGGAACGTGAGTTTTATGAATTGGAACCTCTGGCATCCCACAGCTGTAACGCTTCTGAGAAGACGGCTTATGAAGAGACCCACACCTGCTCTGAATTCTTCAGCAGCCCGGTCAAGAATCGAGAGAGGCCTGCACGCGCGGCGGCGTACGGCAGCGAGCCCAGCCCGAGCACCCCGGGCGAGGCTGGCGCCAGCTTGTTACAACCACCCGGTGAGCAGCGCACCCTGTGCCAGCTCCTTTCCCTGAATCAGGCATGTGGCTGCCCCAACACCTACCAACATTTGAAGTACGGCCCGCATTCCTGCCAGCAGGTGGGGGACTGCTTGTGCCACCAGTGTGGCCCTTCCGCTGCCAGCTTTGTCCAGATCCAGGGCGGCATAGCCCCGCTGACGGCTGTGCACCAGGGCCCTGATGGCTTCGGGCACCCTACCCCCCACATCCACCACTGCCCCTGCCTGCAGGGAGTGGGGAAGCCACCTGGGCTGCAGAATTCACTGCCGAAGAGTTTTTTCCTCTACCCAGTGCAGCACCTTCAGACCCCAGGAAATCCCGGGAGGAGCGGCGGACACAGTCCTCAGAGCGATGAAGAGCAGCTTCCAAAGATGGCCGAGCCATCGGCCTTTTCCCGCCAAAACACTAGCTCTTCAACGAAAGCCTGTGGTGATACCACCGATGCTTGGCAAAGGGGACTCCGTCAGAAGAGAGACGCTGGGACTTCAGAGGGCAGTGGAGGGACTGAAAGCACGGATTCTGACCGCGAGCAGCTGAGCTGCAAGGCTGAGGGAAAGGTGGGCTTGAGCCTGCCGCGGTCTGACCCCACTGTGAGCTCAGACCCTCCCGAGCAGAGCGAGCCAAAATTGCTGTTTCGCCGTTTCGTGGGGGAGGCTGGCTATGTGGCCTGCCCTGACAATCCGCACGGCTGTGGCCGAATCGTGAGAGTGAAGTGCAATTCCGTGGACTGCCAGATGCCAAACCTAGATGCCAACGTGCCTGCTGTGTTAACACACACGGAACTTTCTGGCGAAAGCCTGTTAATAAAAACGCTTTAATAAAAACTAGTATCAAACCCAGAACCAGTGCCTCAGTCTTTTGAAATGGGTGAAATCCAGATCTTTAGAGCATGAACCCCCAAAACAGCCATATAGATATATATAAAATCTTGTCCTATATGTGTTAAAATTATGGAATGTAGAGCAAACTTTAATGAACCAACTGGTAAATCTAATGAGGAATGTTGATTACTATTGAAGGTTTTTTAAAAGTGTAATTGTTTTATACGTTTATAGCTAGTTTGAAAAAAACAAGCAAACTCTTACTCCCCCTCCCACATCAGTGAGTGGAGTTAGAGCTTGCATCAGTAGGTTTCCGATCAGCCCTGTTTGTCTCGGACCCCACTGTTGGGCCTTTGGTTGGCAGCATTCAGGCCTCTGGTAGCTCGACGTAAGTATTAGGAATCGGCCTAGTTTAAATAGGGCCACTTCGGTTTGAATTCAACCTTAAACAACTAAACCACATTAAGCTTGCCTATGTTGGGAGAGGCCTTACTGAAAATCTAGTTGCCAGGCATTTTAATCGTGGGTTCCTCCTGTTAGTGGTCTTTCCAGGAAGCCAGTGATGCAGTGACACCCAATGGGTGTCTTTGGCCGGTTTGCCAGTACTGACATTTGTGTTCCGGGGTGACGCTCGCCAACTTGGGAATCCTGGGCATCGTCCTGTGCCACAGAAACACAAGTATGAATCAACGGAAGTGTTCCAAACTACCTAGGAGGCTGCGTTGCACATTGACAACAGTGGACCTCAATCCGATGGCCCGAGCCCCTCGAAGCTTTCAGTGGGGGTACTTGTTCTGTGAGAAGCTTTGCCTCCATCTCTTCCGACAAGGGGACAAGCTCAGGTGGCTGCCCTCTCCTGCCTGGGTGAGCTAAACACCGTTTCTAGACATATAAGGATGATGTAATTGTGCAGCTAACACCTGGAAACCAAGCTAAGCCTTTGGGCAGCATCTGAAGCTACATGTGTGTGTATTTGGTGTTCGATCAGTCTGCAGTAATTGAGCTGTTGGGTAATTCTGGTAACCAGGTGTCCTCTGGCAATGCATTAGAGCCTCGGTCTGGGAGAATCCTGCACCCTTCTCCCTCCCCCGTGGCCCTGCCTCCAAGGTGATCCTCCGGAGAAAACTGGCGGAAATATTTCTAAACACAATGCTCTTTACTAAAGTTGTGTTAACCATTTTTAAGAACAGTTTTCCCAGTTAGGACTGCGCCTTGTCCTAGGGCCTGAGCAAAGCCATGTAGAGTTGAACCCCAGTCCACCAAACCACATTTCTGTGATGTGGCTTTGCCGCTTTTGCTCACATGCTTCTGTGGCAAGCGGCTCACAGACTTCGGAGGGAAACCCACTGTCCTCTAATCTTCCTACCAGTTGGTCCTCACCTCTGTTTGCTGAAACGTAAATAAACGTTCTGATCTTTCTTCCACATGTGCCCCGAGGCAATCTGAAAAAAGTTCTGAGTCCTCCCTCGACTAGCCCTGTTCTTCAGCCCAACTGATGGAGGGATTATGGTCCCCTCTGGGTTTGTTGAACTTCCTCTCCGAGTGTGAATCCCCAAACAGGCTCACATCCAGCCAAGGAGAAGGGAATAACTGGGCTCAATTCACACAGCCGATGCTTACCCAGCTTAAAGAGCCAGCTGCTCCTTGGAGTCAATCCCAGCTTGCGGTGACAGCATAGATGACAGTCACACTGCTCCACTGGGCTTTCTTGAACCAGCTGAGCAACCTTTCTCCCATGGTGCCTCGGGTGCATTTGAACCGCAAGCTGGGCCACCTGGGGACTTTTTGTGAGCTTAAAAACCAAACTCACTGCCATGAAGTCAGTCCTGTCTCTGAGTGAACTATGGGTTTCTGAGACAGTAACTCTTTACAGGAGTAGAAAACCTCATCTCCCGAGGAGTGGCTGGTTTTGAACCGCTGACCTTCCAGTTAGTTGGCAGCCTAACACATAACTCACTGTGCCACCAGGGCTCCTAAACAATCTGGCCTCTCGTGTGCTGAAGCTAAATGTTCTCTGCAAACCAGTTTTGTTTTTTACACAGAAGATCAGAATTTTACATTCACTCCCGTTGCCTTTAGATGACACGGGGAATGAGTTGAAAGGGACAATTAGAAAGAGGACTCAAACTAGATACCTGAAGCTAGATCACTTTCTTCCTTCTGAAAGGTAGAGCCATAGAGTTGGCTAGTGACAATGCATTGATCCAGACGCAGGCCGGATTTAAATGGTCAGAGACACAGACTTCTCTACAAATGGTCGAACCAGGAAGACTCATGCGAGTGAAATGTGGGCTGATTCAGAAAGTAATATAGGAATGGAAGTTGGTAGGTGTCCTGAGTCTTCTCTCAGGGGCCGCAATCGGGGTGTGGTGTTCACCTGTTTGCCTATACCAGCTAATGAGCACCAGACCAGAGGTCCATCAGCTGACGGCCACTGCTTGGGTATGAAAGTAGAGCTCTGTGCCATGAGTTTTCATGGCTGATTCTGGTTGAGAAGTAAATCACCAAGCGTTTCTTCCAAGAGACCTTTGGGTAGACTTGAACAGCCAACCTTTCAGTAAACCAAAACCGAATCCACTGCCGTCAAATAAATTCCACCTCACAGGAATAGATAGTTCACCTTTCTCCTGCAGAGTGGCTGGTGGCTTTGAACTGCCCAACTGTGCAGTTGGTACCCCAGTGCCTACACCACAGTGCCACCAGGATCATAACCCAGCGCAGCATTAATGTTTCCGCCACTCAGGGATTACCGGAGTTGGCTAGAGGGGCCCATTCTATTTGATGACCTTTTGCCTTGAATGGGGCATCAACCCATCTCACATTTATTTCACTGATGGATTTGGAAGGGACTTTATTTTTAAAGTTCACTTCCTGGGACTAGAAAGCCATTTCTTGAATACTGGGCATTAAGGTAAGGTGACCAGATTTAAAGCAGGACACCATTGACGGGGGT